GTACCGGCGACTTCGAAGCACGTGGACGTGTGACGAGCGGCTATACTCGTGCTTGCGATCTTTTGCTGACCGACTTTTCGTGACTAACTTTTTGTGACTGACTTTTCGGTTGTCTGCGAATACGCGAGTGTCCACTCGGTGTGAAGTATCGGTGCCGAGGTTGCCCTTAGTGCCTTCGGTGGGCTAGTTCCTGCGACCGCGCGTGCGAGCCTTTAAGGCCACCCGCTTCTTGATTACACCCGAGCTGCACACTGCGCGTCATCGCGAGCCACGTGCGAGGCTGAGGACATCGCCTGCAGGGCTAACGCCGAGATATTATTGTAAGTACCTTCTTGAATACATGTCTCTCTCGCTAGCTTTCGCCACTCTCTCTCCCGCTTACGCTGCGTATTAATTTTGTATTACTTTCTGTAGTAAACTCGATGTTATTCGTATGTCTGTTTTCTTCTTTTGCGCTTCCCCTTTACCTATCGTAAGCAATCCCTTTCCGTCCGGCTTTCGCGCCTGAATTTCGTGATCGCTCCAAAGCGCCCATAGGACTACACGACGCTCTCCGCGGGCCAAGGTAACAGACGCTGCACCACGACGTTCCTGTTACTGCTGGGCTAGGCTTTGCGCAGCCCATTACGAGGCCCACACCGAGCTGTTTTAATCCCCTCGTAATTTATATAATTAACGTATTAATTTAAATTTTTTTATCTAGAATTAAAAATATGATAAATAAATAAAGATATGAAAAAATTACTGACCAGGCGCAAGAAAATACATGATTAAAGTTCTTACATAAAATAATCACTTGCGTAAAAAAGGAAATACAATTATGAAATTTGAATACAGATAAGGTAAGTTATTTTATTTCTCATACATATTAAGAAGACGTTGTAACGGTCGTGATTTATCTAAATAATAAATCGGTGCTCGTTAACAAAATAAGTCACCGTCACTCCCACGTTGCGAAGCTAACCGCCGCTTCGTTGAAGGAAGACTTACCTCCCGGCTGTGGTGCCGACTGCTTCGTCAGATGCGTGCTCGACGTACTGCTTGCGCGGGGGAGTCGGTGGATTCTGATAGCTGGGCAGAGGAGATACGTGTGCTTCTGCCCACGTCAGTAAACAAGGCGGCCGATTAATTGCAGACACCTTTTATTCGTCTAGCGGTTTGCTTACATCCCGTAGAGAAAGAGGTCGAGAGCTTTGCCGGGTGACGTGTCGCTGTGTCGCGCAACGACGATACGCTAGGTTTCACCGCGAGAGAAAGAGAGAGAGAGAGAAAGGTATAAACGGACCGATCCTCGCACGCTTAATAAAACGTAATCTTTTCGCAGATAATCGTACGCCGGTGAGATTACTCACTCCTTCTCGTTGTAGTCCCGCGCAAAACCTCTGTCAACCCTTCGGTTGCCGGCCCCGTGCGCTGACTTTCGTTGCCCAGGAGGTGCTTCGTTCTCTCTCCTCCAATTCCTTCGGCACTCGTTGAAGCTTTTGCGACTTGGGCGACGGCACTCACTCTTGGCGCACTTAGCTCGATACGCCTGTTGGATCCAGCTTCCAATCCTCGTACCTTTGCACTGCTGAGCTCTCCTCCTAGAACTCTCTTTTCTTCTAACTCTCACTTTCCTTTCTCTATGCTGATCCTCTCGATAAGCCGGTTCACACGTGAATGTCCTTCGCGCCTACCCCCACCCCTCACGGTCCTGTCTCTGTTCTCTCCGCTCGCGCACGGTTTTCTGCGCAGCTGGCCCGCGCACGACAGGCGCTGGCCCTCTATCAAGTTGATTTTTCCCTTAACGAGCCGGCTCGTTACAACGTGAAATGTAATTGTGAGAATCAATGTGGCAATAAACACATGTTTTATCAATATTTTTAGTATACGTTATGTCAATATTCTCATTTATTCTCATGACTTGCTTTATGCAGCGTAACTCATCGGAGATTAAATGATCATCACCAATCACTGCAACTTTTTTATACGTTGTATACTCATTCATACTTTCAATATTCACAAGAAATTGTTGAATCTGTATATAATCTCCATTTTGTAAAGTTGCAAATGAGTTATCTGATCTATACAACACTTTTTCACACGATTTGAAGATACATCCCTCCTTAATGATTTTTTTATAAGCTCTTACTTTTCCAATTGGAAGTTGGAACTGTCTTAAAATATCTGTATTAACAACTGTTCTTCCAAAATATCTATATGCAAACTTAACGCTTTTTTCAATAAAATTACAATCTAAATATTTTATGAATTCGGTACATGGTGAGCCTCCTCTCGTTTCCAGATGTTTTTGTAATTTCATGATACCTTGCTCAAAAGACAGATAGCGACATATGTACTTGGTTCAGAACACCTTTGGCTGCATATATAGTTTTTTTTATCCTCCCATCACCTGACTTAAATACATAGCCACTGTGTGCATAGAGTGGACCCTAATTACGAGCAACACTCTGTGTTAAATGTATTAATTGATGAACGTTGTACGTCATAGCGTCTGCTGTATATAAAAGTTCCATATAAGCAACAAATTTTTTCATAAGAACATCTGCTCTTCATAATTCTGTTACAGATATTTCACTTTGTAATATATATATATATATATATATATATATATATTACTATAATATATATATTATACGCTTATACTAACAATTACTAGTGATTCAAATACGGTTCAAATACTGAAACATCTTCAGATACTGTTTTGAATATCGGTATACTATAAAAAAAAAATGCAATTTAACCACTCTGATCCTTTCCAATGCGCTCGATCATTCAAAGAACGAGACAGTCGTACTAATTGAGTAGGATCCTGAATGTTTATCATATAATTATTTATTATGTTTATTTTACTTTTAGAAATTGAATAAGGTTCGTTTGATGAAGTAAACCAATAATTGAAAAATTATTTACCTATGCCAAGATCAACACAGTGTAAAAAGCATGGTACAAATTCATCAATTATATTGAAATGCTTCAAAAGCATCAAAGGAGTTACGTTTTTTATACCAAAAACTGGAGCATTTGATTGCATTGCTCTCTGCGTTAATTGAAATGTTGCATCGACCATTTGCCTTTCAGGATTTGCATCTAGTATAGGATATTTTATACTGTAACCAGTATCATGACGAATTCGAATACCTGGATGCAAGCACCAATTGCACTCATAATAACCGTTGAACTGAACAGTACCTTGCATAGGCGCACGTGCAACAGCGTCTACGCAACAATATATTGCATACACATGTAAATTCGCGATCGCAACGAAATGCAGGTGGCGCTAGTATTTACCAATATGGCCGACCTAAGGTGAAACTGTTTAAATTTTACCATGCAGTTAGATAGGTAGTTCCTCTTTAAAATTAGTTTATTTAAAAATGGAAAGGTCTACGTAGTTCGTTATATCTCTAGATGGTATTTTGAACCTTCTAGGGCAAACGAGAAGACCTTTGTCCGAAGGTGAAATGGTTTTAAATGCAAATCATGTGATTTTATGTGGTGTGTTGGAGCGAAGCAGTAGTGTAGTGCATATTCTTGGCTTAAGCTTACAAAGCTCTGGGATTCGTGAAAAGCCACACGAAATCAACATAAAAATTGATTTTGAAATAGCAGTAATGTTGAAAACAAGTACATCTGTGTATGTAGCTGTACTGCAGGTGCAGGTGGGAGATGTAAACATGTTTTTGCAACATTATTATTGGTTAATAGGTACGATTTTTGTTTTATTTTTTTGCTTACTTGGGTAGAATTATTAGTTTTTCATTGTGATTCAGTTTGTTTAGATATTTTTATTTAATTTTAGACGTAGTCTAGACAACTTGGATGATTTGAGTTGTACTGATATCAAGCAAAGTTGGGGAAATTTGTCTGCTACAGCTTTAGAACAATATGATCATCCTATAAAAATTGTAGATTTATGTCATTACAATAATCCTTTCAAACTGGATAGAGATTATTCTCATTCGAATGACTTTTTTCTTGAAATTTTATTAAAAGGTTGGTTGATACATTATTCTATTGACTGTATGTCATACGTTGAATGCATGATAAACTTTGTTATTTTTGCTTGTAGGTAGTCCTAAAAGCGAAGCTGCTATTCATATATCCATGCAGCGTGATACTCAATATTATAATCCAGTAGAAGATTTACTGTACAATGAGAGTTTCAATCATAGACTTATTCTAATATTACACTTGCTTAAAAGACCATTGAAATTTAGTTTGCCGGTCCCAAGTTTATCTGATGAACGCCGTAAATCATTTTATGATTTACATATTAATTTGAATGAAACTGGTTCTTGTTTCATCTGTCTTAGAACTGTTTATCAGTGTGATGAGCTCTGGAAATCTAGTAGAAGGTTTAGAATTACTGGTAGCGTATGTTATGAATTATTTACATACTGTACTAATAAGAAAGCCAATTGGGATTCTAAGATAGAGAGTGTGTTTTTTAGTAAATTCAAGGGATGTGACGATACAGATTATGGACACATTAGTGAGCCTAAAGCTAGAGATCTGTATCAGTCAACTTTTAAAAAGTATGTAGCTCAATTAGGTTTTTTTTGTCATCCAGATGCTCCATGGCTGGGCACGAGCCCTGATGGAAGTGTTTGTGAGGATGAATGTTTGCTTGAAATTAAAAGTCTAAAGTTTGGTAAAACTATGACCGCTTATGAAGCTTTCAAAAAGATGAGTTGTGTTGAATGTGATCAACAGACAGGTACATTAAGTTTTAAGAAAAAACATAAATTTTATGGACAAATCCAGTTATCACTAGCATTATTGAATTTACAAAAATGTCATTTTGTTGTATATGCTTCTTTTGATAATTCAATTTATGTATTTGAAGTACCACCAGACTTTGAATTTATAACAAACATGTTATCACGGTTGTATCCACTATATTTTAATACACTACTACCTAACTTTGTGGCCCGAGAGAAAAACTTTTAATATGTTTTAAAACTTATTATTTATTTTTTGAAACTTTTGTAGATACATCACTTTTATTCGATACAAAAATGAATCACACCTGGTTCACAGTTGATTATATTAACGAGCAGAGTTTGATTCAATAAAAAAAAATAATAAAACTTCATGTGATTTTTTATAAAAATGTATCTTCTCCTAAAATAGGTGGGCTGAGATTCACTAAGCCACATACAGTAATTAAGATGTAATCCAAACTTTTGACCAAGTAATGAGGAATAATTCCTTTTAATAATTTAAACTGTTTGATACGCTGGATTGTTCTCTCTACATGTACTCGTGCTGCAACAATGGTAGCTGTCTCATGACTTTCATCACGTGTTAATTTTTTATTCTTGCAGAAAGGTAGTCTTATCAACTTGACTCCAGCTAATGCACATTCAGCTTCAATGAGAAAACCCTTGTCTACCATCAAACTGTCTCTATTGGGCAGTTTTTTTTTTGCACAATATCTGACTCATTAAAAATTTGTTTATCAGATGAACGGCCACCATTACAAGAGCTGACATATGATATAAGTCCAGAAGGTGTAATACATATTATAACTTTGCTAGTGTTACCTCCTTTATAAAATGAGAAGGTACGAATTTTGCATGTCAAACAATGCACTTTTTCAACTTTCATTTCTGTACAATCAAGAACACCAACAGTACTTGTATACTTTTGAAAGCATTGAGGCATATTCTTCAATATTTCTTCTTTTGGTGGCCATCTGATCACTGGTAAAAGAATGATACTAAGATCACATATTGTTTCCAAAAATACATTCTTACATGTATTTGGACATATTGAGAAAAAAACTGAAAGGCAGGTGTATGAAATATTCAACTTAACACGTATCATTGTTAATAATACTCTGTCTCTGTGTGGAAGAGTATATCTATTCTTGCCTTGTTCTTGCTTTAATCTTGACATGCATGTTATTAGGGAGTCCAATAGTTTGAAAGATCCAATACCAGTAAATGCATTTAAATGCTCATCTGTTTTCAAACGATCACCAATTGAAAATATTTTTATTTCATATGGCATGACCTGGACTCCTACGTCAACCTTACTTTTGAGAATAGGATCACTGTCATCTATGCTGGTCTGTGTAGCAGCATCTATTACTTTTAACATAACAGGCTCAGTGTTTAGTTGTGACTTTGCAGCCAGAAACGCATTCGAGTCAAAACTATTATCGCTGGGTAACAAAGGACTGGGATTGTGGCTGTCAGCAGAAAATATGTCTTCGTTCAAAATATTGCATTCTAATAGACTGTTATCTTGCAAGACTAAATAACCAGTGTTGAAAAGATTGCTGTCTTGATTGCTTTTTATTGTAGTTGAATCTGGCTGTTTTTCTGGGTTATTTTCCAAACTAAAACCTTCAAGTAATTGTGTTTCTTGTGTTAAGGTATTGTTGTCAATAAATGTAGCTTTAACCTCACTTCTGTAAAAAGGTAAAAAAATATTATTCTGGAAATTAAAATTCATTCATTATCATGTTACTAATGAAAATATATCTTGCTTTTCTGAGGTTCCTTTGCAAAAGTCTCTTAGCTCTTGATTCAATTAGACTTAGATTAACTTGTTTTTGAGAAACAAAAGTTTTTGGAAGGTTATGGCTTGGAGTTGCTAAGGGTTTCAACTTTTTTCTTATACAAAAATCACCTGAAAACATGTCAAAATCAGTGTTCACTATTTTGAAAGTGTCAAAAATTAGAAAAATGGTTATAAATTTACTTACTACCAAAGTAAAAATCATCAGACGAAAAGTGTTCACTACAAACATTATCACTGCTACTGCAGTATTTTAATCGTAGCCTTTTTAACCATAACTTTTTGAGCTTTGAAGATGTAGGAAAGTTATGATAAGATAGGTCCGGATTCTGAATATTTTTATATTGCGGAACCACGCAGTATTTATGTTTATTTCGTTTGCAACGCTCCATTTTACTGTTTACTCCATAAGCAGCAGACAATATTTTCACCTTAGGCTACTTCGCCTAGCGACCACTTGGCGCTGCAGTCGTTTTTGCGATCGCGAATATCTTGTTTTATTTTTCAATTGACATTTTATTCCATTTTCGGAAAGTTCATTTATGCGATCGACAAAAGGACGTAGAAAATATGTCATATTTGGCTTAACTTCTTTCTCCATCTAAAGATAACAAAAATATCGATAGCTTGTTAGCTTATGTAGTTTTAAAAATAGACGTGCTGTTGGTAATAATACAGAGTTTTATGTTAGTTAATTTCATAAGCTAAAAAAATTCAGTTATATATTTATTTTTAGTTTTCTAAGAAAATGGCATGAATATCTGAAATGTTTTCTAGGAAATCGTCACTCGGACAGATGAGAAGTAAAATAGAAACATAAAATAATTAGGTAGTATTAGTAAAAAATCAGCATAGTATTGCGCAGTCCTTGTTTTTCTAAGAAAGCGAAATGAATACCTAACATTTTTTCTAAGAAATGACATTCAAAAAAAGATGACACGAAAATCCATTATATTAGTAAATTAACTAATAATATTTTAGCCATGATACATATTTCTGTAACGATAAGTAACAATAATGCTTTTCGTTAAAGACTTGCGATTTTTTATAGAGAAAACCAAGGACCTCCTACTTTGAATAACAAAAGACATTACCGCCACCGAAAGCCGCACTCAGCGTCGTATCTTGTAGGTTAGGTTTGGTGTGCGCAAAACGCATTAACGCGACGTGAGCACGAGCATGACACTTGCACGTCAACTCGGTTTGTGCGTGACAACTTGCATGGCAACTTATATACCAAATCGTTTTGTGCACGGTAACTCTATATCTTGCTCATGTCGTGACCGGGCTTCCGTAGGCTTCCGTATATGTATGTATTGTTTTGCTCTTTGCTGTAGTGTGAAAAAACTGTAGATACGTTAGTCACATTTATTTTCAATTACTGGGATAAAATTGTATTATACATTACGACACACCAATATGCCTTGGCAAAAAAGTCAACGTCATCCTGATGTTGGCGAAGACACAAGGATTGCAGTTAATTTGACTATCAAAAAGTTGTTAGAAACTGGTGATCAAAAAGAGTTAGAATTTCCTTCTTCTTATAATGCTGAAGAACGAGCTTATATTCACAGTTTAGTTCGCCAACTGGGCCTGAAATCAAAAAGTCGAGGGTATGTACATTTTATTTTATCAATTTGCATGTAGTATGATATTTAGAAAAATTTTATTCGTATTAATTAATTTGATTTTTTACACAGTCGTGGTGCCAATAGATTTTTGACTGTTTATAAGCGAGAAGGCTCTACAATAGTTCAAGCAGATGCTGTAATCAATTTACATAAATCATCTAGACAATCAATTTATAGTTTGATTAAAAAATTTCCTCTAGATAGTAAAGAGCGCCGTGATTTATTGCCACCCACTGAAAGGGAAAGAGCAGTGGATACAGAAGGTAAATTTTATAATTTCTTTAATTTATTCAACTTGATTTACAAACTTAACATTTTTTGGTTTATTATTTTGATAACATACCATTCACAACTAAATGCATTTTCTTATTGTAGTTAATATCAATGCAAAGACAATGGGTAGATTAAATAATAGTATACCTCAAGTTCCACAATTAAAGATAAATTATGATATTGTTAATTTTCGCAATTCATTGACAATTATGAATAAACGTGAAGAAATATTAAGTACACTAGTCAATAGTCAAGTTATGATTGTATCTGGTGAAACTGGCTGTGGAAAAACTACTCAAATTCCACAGTTTATTCTAGAAAATTGCCAACAAAAGAACCAAACATGTAGAATTATTTGTACTGAACCAAGAAGATTATCTGCTGTGTCCGTAGCTGAAAGAGTAGCTTTTGAAAGAGATGAAAAAGTAGGACAAACTTTTGGATATCAAATTAGATTAGAAAGCAGAGTAGGTCCGAAAACTTTATTAACTTATTGCACAAATGGTGTTCTTTTAAGAACACTAATGGGAGATGACTCTGTGTTAGCAATGATAACTCATATCATTGTAGATGAAGTTCATGAACGTGATAGGTTTTGTGACTTTCTACTTATTGCATTAAAAGATGCTCTTGCAAAGTATAGATCTTTAAAAGTTATTTTAATGAGTGCTACAATAGATGTTTCAATTTTCATAAAATATTTTAATAACTGCCCAGTAGTTTATGTACCTGGAAAATTATTTGATGTAGATATTTATTACTTAGAAGATATATTGAAAATTACAAATTATATGACAAAAGAAATGTTATCCAAGAAGAAAGAAATCTTGAGCCATAAAGATCAATGTAAAGTTTTGGAATCATGGAATCAGTATAAAACTCAGTTGTGTGAGGCTTCTAAAAATAAAGAAAAGTATTGTATTCCAATTTTGGAAAAACTGAATGAACCTATTGCAGAAAATGTAGGGCTTGAACCATGGTTGATCGAAGAGATGGATAAATCTATAGCTGATTCTTGGTTGTTAGGTGGAGAAGATAACTTTACACAGATTCTACATTTAATACACTCAGAAAATGTTTCTGTGGATTATCAACATTCTAACACTCTTGTAACTCCACTCATGGTTGCAGCAGGACGAGGTTGTCTAAACACTGTTGAACAACTTCTTAATTTAGGTGCTAACTTAAATCTTAGGTCATGTAATGATTGGACTGCATACGATTGGGCAAAAAATATGAATCAGCTTGAATGTACAGAATTGATTGATGCTTACAGAAAAACATGTGATTATATATTGAATGGAAATGAAACAAGGAAAACCACAAGTTTAGGTATTTCTGAGGATGATAAATTACTTCTTGATACCTATCAAAGTACATTCAATGAAGAGAATATTGATTACACTCTCATTTTAACCTTGATTCTTCATATCCATCTCAAAATGCCACCAGGATCTATTTTAGTATTTTTACCTGGATATGATGATATTATTACTATGAGAGACGAAATTAGCAATGAAAATCAAATGAATCAAGGCAATCGTTATATTTTGTATATTCTCCATTCTAATATGCAAACAAGTGATCAAAAAAAAGTTTTTAGACCCAGTCCTCAAGGCACTCGAAAAATAATTCTTTCTACAAATATTGCTGAAACCAGTCTAACAATTGATGATGTGGTATATGTTATTGATTCAGGCAAAATTAAAGAAAAGTCATTTGATGCTATATCTGGTATAACTATGCTCAGATCAAACTGGATATCTCAAGCTTGTGCTAAACAGCGTAGAGGTAGAGCTGGTCGCTGTCAGAAAGGAGTGTGTTACAGAATTTATTCTTCCATTCGATACAGCAGTTTGCAACCTTATCAAACACCTGAAATATTAAGATTACCTTTACAACAACTTTGTCTTTATACAAAGCATTTAGCTCCTGGAAATACACCAATAGCTGAATTCTTAGAAAGAGCTATGGAGCCTCCTTCAAGTGCTGTAACTAGGAATGCTGTTCAACTATTAAAGACAATTGATGCCTTGGATCCTTGGGAGGATTTGACAGAATTAGGGAATCATTTAGTTGATTTACCTATTGAACCAAGATTAGGCAAAATGTTACTTTATGCTGTAGTTTTGAAGTGTCTCGATCCTATTTTAACTATAGTTTGTACTTTAGCCTACAAGTAAGTTAATTTTTTTAGAAATATTCAAATTAAATTTTTTATATTTAATTTCATTATTTTTTTTCTTTTAAGAGATCCATTTGTGATGCCTTTTCAGCCCTCAAAAAAACAAGCAGCAAAAGTTGCACGTAAAGAGTTTGCAGCCAATACTTATTCTGATCACATGGCTGTGTTGAGAGCTTTTCAAATCTGGCAGAATGCAAGAGCTAATGGTTGGGAACGAATATTTTGTGAAAACAATTTCGTTTCAGCAGCAGTTATGGAAGTCGTTGTTGGTATGAGAACACAATTACTTGGGCAACTGCGTGCCTCTGGATTTATTAAAACTAGAGGTCCAGGTGACATTAGAGACTTAAATTCAAATTCTGAAAATTGGGCTATTGTAAAAGCTGCATTGACTGCTGGGCTATATCCAAATCTTATACGAGTAGATAGAGAACATGCTCAACTAAGAACACAGTCTGTTGTGAATCATATTACTTTTCAGATAACTTTCAGAACTAATAATTCTTTTTATTAATCCTTGTACATATGTTTAACAGGAAAGAAGTAAAAGTTTTTTTTCATCCATCTTCTACTTTGAAAAATGTTTCTAAATCATTAAAAACAACTTCAGCGCAAGTTCATGCAGCTAATGTAAGTTCCTTACCTTCTGATTGGATGCTTTATGAGGAAATAAGTCGCTCTGGTAGATTTTGTCATGCTCGAACCATTACTCTCGTAAATCCTTTAACTGTAGCCATATTTAGTGGACCAGCTCGACTACCAATGGATGTCATTTACGAGGCCGAATGTGAGCAATATTAATTTACAACATCTGGATTGTTTTTAATTGCAACATTCAATTTATACTTTTAGCTACACCAGATAGCGAATCAGACTCTGAAGTCGACGAAAGCCATGAAGGAACAACAATCTTAAAACTTGATCACTGGATAGTATTTAAAGTAGATTCGGAAGCCGCCCAATTAATTCTACATTTAAGGCAAAAATGGAACGCATTATTTCTAAGGCGCATGACAAATCCAAATAAAGTTATGTCGCAACAAGACGAACAAGTTATAAAAACATTAGTTGCAGTCATTACAAATGAAGAACAAGCATGCGGATTGCATCAACCGCTGGGTATAGGACAAAGACCTCGACCTCTTCTCATTGATTACTATCCAGCTGGGGCCAAGCGTATTGATGATTTTGAAGATGTAAGTAATCATTATATTAGAACGACTTGTTTGACTTTTGTTGGGATACATAAAATTTTTTTCTTTATTTAGAAAAATCTTTAAAAGCTTTGTCAAGTCTGGTAAAAGTAAATCCTGTTCGTCAAATTTGGTAATTATTAAATAAATTAAGTAAAAATAAAATTTCGTTGTTGAAAATTAATTTAATGTTTTTGTTTTAGATTATCATGTTAGCAATCAAGATAAATTAATGGTCTATTTCATTCATACGTCGATGTTCTCAATAATAAAAGAAATGTTGATATTAATAGCATAATGTCTTAGAAAACGAAATTTTTATTTATTTATTTATTTATTTTCATAATTGAATAAGATGTATAAACATATTGTGGCAACAATAAATGAGATATAGGTTAAACAGGTTTAACAGGTTTAAATTCAGTTTTTGCCTTATCTAGTTTTCAGTGTTTGACTTCGTTATGATTTCTTAATTGTCATAATCTCATTTTCTGTATTTATATCATTATGCACTTTTAACAATTTAGCAGATCGGATAACACACTCAGAACTTCAGGCCTCTTCATAGATGTACGCAACAGCGCATAATTTTTACGCTAAGAAACGAATATAGACACTTGGAGCGTTGTTACCCTTAGTGCACCGAACGAATTAGCAATGTTTCTGAAACATTTCTTAGAAATATCGGAATGTTACACCTTCGAGCGTCAGAAACGTTTCAGAAACGTTAGCCAAATGGCAAAAATGTTTACGATTGTTTCCAAGGAACCTTCACGAAACGTTCTAAATATGTTCGAGAAACATGAAGACTTTTCAAAAATCTTTGATTGTTCGTGACTTTTTGTGGGCGACACAAAGAAGCCTAGTTCACGCGTTTGGTTTTTTATTGTTGTTTTATCCGAACGATTTATGCATTGAATTTGTTGATATTTTCTAGATTGGTTTGGAGAATGAAATAAATTAAACACCTTTTTAAGGGAAAAGCCTATAACGGCACAAAAACCCTTTTATTAATTAACACTTACACAGAGAATTTTTAATGAGAAGGAAAATGGATAGAGTATAGAAAAAAGAGTAACTGACGCCGCGGGAGAACAATGGCCGCGTGCACGCATGCACCCACGTGTTGCACAACATACAACCGGCTGAATTATTCGAAGCACATTCGCACATTCACACACAGTTTTTTCTTCTTACAATGAAGAGATGCGATGATAGTATGATAGATGATGAGATAACGATACGATAATGTGTAGAATATACACGCTGTTCCGTTGAACAGAAGAGGTTCGCGAGGGAGCTCCGCACGCTAGACGATGTCGTCGACGACTGCCGGGCAAGCCGGAAGAGGAGAGCGTTCTCTCCACGATTGCCGCGCCAGCACCGTCAAGTGCTGCCACCGCGTGAGATTTAGTGGCTCTAGCCCTTACAAATTGTTACGACTTAACATGCTGCTGGCCACGGCTGCGAGACTATTTCGAAGAGTAATAGTGGAGCAGTGTTAGACTTAACCTAGTAATTGAATTGTGCATAGATATAGATTATCCTAAGAAATCTAATCGAATCTTTGATTTATTTACAAGTGGAACCAGTTTCCGTTGGAGGAACTGCTCCAATGATTAGCACCGTTATCACAATCGGTTCGATGAATAGACTAATTAAACTCTTTATTAATTGAACATGAACAACTTAATCTAATACGTAACATATATACATTTTCTACAGTACTAAATTATTTATTCTGGAAGACTAGTCACTCAAAGTTCGTTATCGATTCACTCGATCGCAATTCGGACCCCTATTCTAAAGGTCAGAATCTCGAATTAGTCAGGAACCTATTTAACCGGATGGGTATCGCGTCGCAAGAGTCACCCTCTCGACGTGACCCTTGAGCTTCTGGCTGTGGAACTTCCGGGTTCCACCATTCTCGGGCCAGGCTTCATAGATGCAACACTCAGAATACGATAAGGTTCAACTCATGTATGGCAAACCAAATCGCGCACATCTGGGGGCAATGTCAACGATTATTCTGGGAGGGGTGGCTGAGATTCTGACGGGATTTTGCCGCCCTGTTCCATGGGTAGCACGCAGAGCCTAGTGATGTTTCGTTTGTAGACTCCGGATGCCATCTTCACTGTTGCCACTCGAGCAATGCCATCGCTCCCAGGGTGAACCTCCTCGACGATACCTAGCGGCCATCTTGCGCAAGGAGAGTTCGTGTCCTCCATCGATACGACAACCATGCCGGATTTTAGAGTGGCAGTGGAATTCAGCCATTTGGTTCGGACTTGGAGTTCGTGCAAATATTCCTGATGCCATTTTCTCCAGAAATCCTGTCTGGCTTTGCTTATAAACTGGTACGGCTTCAAACGATTGTCTGCAACTGAAACAAAGTCAGGTTCGGCTAAGAAATCGAACGGACGTCCAATCAAAGCATGCGCGGGCGTTATCGCTAGAGGGTTATTAGGGTCTGCGGAAGTCACGTATAGTGGGCGAGAATTAAGGATCGCTGCGATTTCCTTTAAAAAAGTTTCAAGCTGTTCATACGTGAGCGGTTGATTGGTCATCACACGATTCAAATGATATTTGAAACTCTTAACGGCGGCCTCCCACAATCCGCCGAAATACGAAGAGAGAGGAGGGTTAAACTGCCATTCGATTCGTTTGGGGATCGTGAAGTTTTGGATAGCTTCTTGGAAAGCAGAAGTCCCGTGTAACTCGTAGAGTTTCTTAAGTTCATTTTTCGCACCGACAAAATTGGTACCGTTATCGGACCTCATTATTCGCGGGATCCCATGCGTATTAATAAACCGACGGAGACAAGCGAGAAAGGCTTCAGTGGAAAGATCTGACGCTAACTCGATATGGACGGCCTTGGAAGCCATGCACACGAAAACACAACCGTATGCTTTAATGAAGCTACGATTACGCTCTTTCTTTTCTTTAATTAGAATAGGCCCGAAAAGATCTACACCGGTTTCCTCGAACGGATACTCGGGAGCAACGATCCTGAATTTTGGTAGATCCGCCATCTTGGCGTGAGGGAATTTGTGTTTCTGACGAATGCACGGCACACATCGCTGTATGATATGCCTAATTTGGTCTTTGCCGCCGAGAATCCAAAATCGTTCTCTTATGGCGTAAAGTGACATCTGGATTCCGCCGTGAAGTGTTCGACGATGAGCGTCACGAATGATCAGGTCGGAGATGTGGTGGGATTGTGGAAGCAATATTGAATGTCGCTGGTTGAACGTGAGGTCGGAATGTTTTAAACGACCGCCTACTCTGATCAATCCATCGCTGTCAAGAAATGGACTGATTTGATTGAATTTATTTCGGTTCCTAAACTCATCACGATATTTATCATTGGGTGGTTTTTGATCGGATTTTAAAGCTTTGATCTCGGAGGCAAAACATTCCCTCTGGATCAGAAGTAGGAGACGAAGTTCAGCCTTATCAACTTCAGCTTGAGTTAGATAACGAATCCCTCTTTGTGATTTGCCCGTGTCTGGAATCTCACCTTGAGGTAATTCCTTGCTCGTTAAATGGAGCATGTACGCTATCGATCTGATTAAGCAACCGTAATCCGAGTATCGGAGGTAAAAGGAGCTAGTCGAAAAGGTCGTTGCTAACGTGTGACTCGCAAGTGGAATCGGTGATTCAGGCCATTTATCTTCCGATAACCTCAGCCAGTGAGGACCGCAATTCCAGAGGGAATTCCTCACTAGTTCACCCGGTAACTGTCCTCGAGACAGTGCATCAGCTGGATTAGCCGCCGACCGGACATGTCTCCATTCGACTTCATTACCTAATTCTTGAATATCAGCTACTCTATTTTTCTCATAAGTCCTCAACAGATGAGGCGCCTTTTTTAACCAAGATAAAACGATGGTTGAATCCGTCCAGAAGATGACCCGGTCAACGGAAAAAACCAGCTGTTTCCTAGCCTTGACGTATAACCTTTTCAGAAGGACCGCGCCGGCTAATTCCAGTCGCGGTATTGTTTGATGATCGGTGGAAGCTATTTTGGACTTGCTAACGAGCAACCTGACAGTAACGCGTCCTGCCGCGTCGACTGTGCGGATGTACACACCAGCGCCGTACCCTCGTGACGAAGCGTCACAAAAGCCGTGTATTTCGGTTGACGTTGGAGTTTCCCCTCGTAGGTACCTTGGCTCTGCAAACTTCTGCACCTCGGGGAGTTGATCGGCAAACTTAACCCATTTCGTGTGGATCTCCTGCGGCAACGACTCGTCCCAGGTCAAATTTGACCGCCAGCAATCTAACAAAAGGCCCTTTGCATATAAAATTAAGGGGCCTAGTAATCCTAGAGGATCGAAGATTCGTGCAACCTCTGAAAGCAATTTTCTTTTTGTAGAAACCAACTCCGTATTTTCCGGATCGCACGAGTACGTGAATATATCGCGTTCAGAATCCCAGACTATCCCGAGCGTCTTTTTGACTGCAGACTGTTGAACCCCGCAATCCAGTTTGAAGATTTTCTTGTCGATGTTGTCCAAAGAGACGGATGGTTCGAAGACCATTTTCGAATGATAAAACCTCCACAACTCAGAAGTTAGATCATCTCGTCACGAATCGCCAGCACCTCTTCCAATGTCTCAGCTCCTGAAAGAAAATCGTCGACATAGAAGTCGCGACACAGAAGCAGCGAAGCTCGTGCAAATTTAGCTTCCTCATTCATGGCCAATTGGTGCAGCGTGCGGATAGCTAGAAAGGGAGCGCTTTTGATTCCGAAGACTACAGTGTTAATGTAGAAAATCATTATTCGACCGTTGTAGTACCAGAGTATTTTCTGATATTTACTGTCGTCGGGGTGAACCCAGACCTGCCGATACATTTTTTCAATGTCCGCAGTAAGAACGAAGGGGTGCGATCGGAAGTGCATGATCTGCTCGACGAGAGTGTCCTGAAGAGTCGGATCTGCGAGCAGAACATCGTTCAGTGAGATACCGGTCGAGGTTTTTGCGGACGCATCGAAAACTACTCTGCACTTGGTTGTTTCGCTCGACTCCTTGATGATCGCGTGATAGTTCACGCGTTTGATTTTTTTATTGTTGTTTTATATGAACGATTTATGCCTTGAATTTGTTGATATTTTCTAGATTGGTTAGGAGAATGAAATAAATTAAACACCTTTTTAAGGGAAAAGTCTATAACGGCACAAAAACCCTTTTATTAATTAACACTTACACAGAGAATTTTTAATGAGAAGGAAATTGGATAGAGTATAGAAAAAAGAGTAACTGACGCCGCGGGAGAACAATGGCCGAGCGCACGCATGCACCCACGTGTTGCACAACACACAACCGGCTGAATTATTCGAAGCACATTCGCACATTCACACACAGTTTTTTCTTCTTACAATGAAGAGATGCGATGATAGTATGATAGATGATGAGATAACGATACGATAATGTGTAGAATATACACGCTGTTCCGTTGAACAGAAGAGGTTCGCGAGGGAGCTCCGCACGCTAGACGATGTCGTCGACGACTGCCGGGCAAGCCGGAAGAAGAGAGCGTTCTCTCCACGATTGCCGCGCCAGCACCGTCGAGTGCTGCCACCGCGTGAGATTTAGGGGCTCTAGCCCTTACAAATTGTTAAGACTTAACATCTTAATAGTCGATTTTATAGTGGTAGTCGACAAAAATATTCATAGTTTCGTAAATGTTGCGAAGACATTGCAGTACTTAACTATATTCTGGTTTTAGGGATATCTCAGAAACGTTTGCGCGATCTTACTAACTAGGGAACGACCCCCAACCCTCGGCCTCTAAATTTTCTGCAATTGAGATATGTTATAGTTCGTAAAAAAATAAAAGACCCGTATTTTTTTTTATCGGCGGAAAAAGCTATCTAAGAGATGAAACCCACCCCCAAAAAACAGCCCCAAAAGCAGTTCTACAGCAATATCTTTAGTTATAATGAATATTTTTTTATGAAACAAAAAAACACAAGATACTTATAAAAAAAGTAACAGACACACATCAATTTGGTTCCCCGGGGGTTGAAACTCCTACGTTGTATAGAGGAAAAACTGTATTTTTAAGTGTATTTTTACCTTACGAAATCAACAAATTATGTTAAAAAAATTCTAAAAATAATATTCCAGTAGAAAATGATAAAACAAAAATAACGTGTTTCAGGATTTTCTTATTAACTATTATTTCGAGGGTGAACTACCCCTTAATGTTATTAATACAATAAAATCAGTTGCTAATCGCATATTATGCTGGTTATTTCAAGTTCTATGACGCTCAAAAAAGACAAACACAAGTATACTTTTGTTCTGCCGAATAAACTATTTAGAGGGTGAAAGCTACCCCCTAAAGTTACCCCTCAACACCATTTTATAGCGAAATTTTCGTATTTTATGCACAGTTTTCGACGAAACAAACTCTAAAAAATTCTTTTAAAAAATTTCAGCTAAATTTATGGATTTCGTCTACAGGGGTTGCAACCCCCTAAATCGCCTGAAATAAAAGCTATGTTTTCAAATATTTTCTTGCAAAGATTTTTCAGAAGAAATGAAGTTTATGAAAATCCGTTTAAAATCTGACACAAAAGTATACAGTATCCGTCACCAGGGACTGCTACCCCTTCATTGGAGAGTGAACGGAGCAATCATTTGTTACCCTGATCCTCTACCATCTTGAACCCAATTTCCTTAAACCTCGAGCTAGTTACCCTGCCACGCTATAACCCGTAACTCCTACAACCCAATTTCATCAACCCTCGAGCTGGTTATCCTGCCACGATGTAACCCAAAACTCTTAACCCCAATTTCCTTAACCCTCAAGCTAGTTACCCTGCCACGCTCTAATCCCTGAACTCCTACACCCGAACTTCATCAATCCTCGAGCTGGTTACCCTGCCACGCTCTAACCCCGAACTCGTACACCCGAATTTCATCAATCCTCGAGCTGGTTACCCTGCCACGCTCTAATCCCGAACTCCTACACCCGAATTTCATCAATCCTCGAGCTGGATACCCTGCGACGCTGTAACCCCAAACTCTTAACCCCAATTTCCTTAACCCTCGAACTAGTTACCCTGCCACGCTCTAACCCCGAACTCCTACACCCGAATTTCATCAATCCTCGAGCTGGTTACCCTGCCACGCTCTAATCCCGAACTCCTACACCCGAATTTCATCAACTCTCGAGCTGGTTACCCTGCCACGTTGTAATCCCAAACTTTTAACCCCAATTTCCTTAACCCTCGAGCTGATTACCCAGCCACGCTCTAACCCAACCCCGAACTCCTACACCCGAATTTTATCAATCCTCGAGCTCGTTACCCTGCCACGCTGTAAACCCAAACTCTTTACCCCAATTTCCTTAACCCTCTAGCTGGTTACCCTGCCATGCTCTAACCCCGAACTCCTACACCCGAATTTCATCAATCCTCGAGCTGGTAACCCTGCCACGCTGTAATCCGTAACTCCTACATCCCAGTTTCATCAACCTTCGAGCTGGTTACCCTGCCACGCTGTAACCCCGAACTCTTGCATTCCAATTTTCTGAAATCCGGAACCCAGCTCCTTGTCATTCATAATCCCTATTTCGAAATATTTATAGTATCTTCAAATAAAAGGACATATGCATATTTTTTGTAGAAGATAACGTTTAATTAATTACGTATATTTATGTACGTATAGGTAGGAAATAGCAAATGCAACTACGAAATCATGTAATATTTGAAGTTCGAAATAGCTACGGGGAATTTCATTTTTAAATCATTATGTTCAGCAAATATTACTACAATCCCTGAGGAAATTCGATTATTATGTTATTGCGAAAAAATTTATTAGACAAACTGATTTTGCCATATGAATAAGTATATGTACGTATTTCGCGAGCCGGTTTTAGCCAATATAAAAATATTGACATGAGATAATGTTACTCTTATTTTCCACCTTAAACATACTCGAGTATGTGCGTGGTAAAACAAAATCAAACTGTGGCATGACGTGGAAACCACAATTAACGAATGCGGTTCATGTGGTTCAAATAGCAAGATTGGAACTGCAACTGTTCTTTTCCTTGATAGAAACCACAATCAACGAATGCGGTTCATGTGGTTCAAATAGCAAGATTGAAACTACAACTGTTTTCTTCCTTGATAGAAACCACAATCAACGAATGCGGTTTATGTGGTTCAAATAGTAAGATTGGAACTGCAACTGTTTTTTTCCTTGATACAAATCGCAATCGTTGACGTATGTGATAAGCCAAGATCTAACAGTGGAGGAACCTCGGGCACCTTGATTTGATATCGGTTTGTGTGGTGCCAACTTGAAAACATATTTTGTTCACTTACAGTATATATAAGCATATTCGATCAGCATATTTCAGTAAATTAGTAATAGAACTTTGCTTTACATTTACGTTTTTGAATATCAAAATTGTGTTAGAATGGCAATTGAAATTCACAACGTCATTCAAAAATTACTGAAAACATTCCACATAAGTGCGGTTGTAGAAAGCATACCTATATTTTACGATGCAGAGAAGCAGCTATACGATTATGTTGAAGATATATTGAGAAAAAGCATTGATACGAATTCAGATATTGAATATGAGACAAGTGAGAACTTATGTTTCCTGGATGATGATTTTGATATTAATCCAGAAGTAATTGACGATCAATTTGAAGAAATACATGGTGTAGACTATGCCGAGGTACCTACTTGTACGGTAACAAATACTGTACTCTACGATGGATATAAAAGAAAAGCTGTTGAATACTTGGAAAGTGGTAAAAAAAAGAAACTGTCTTTAAGTTCCGTCCAGAGTAAATCTAAACAAGTTTCGTCGGAACGTTAGTTGAGAACATGGAAACAGCAAATTTTGATAGGCGGGACCAAAAGAGAGAATGTGTTTAAAGTTTCAGAATATACTTTACAACAATTTAAAGATGCTTTAGATCGGAAGTTAACAGTGCATGATTTAGATCTTAAAAGATGGGCTTTACAAAAAAGTATGAGTTAGATATGCCTTGGTTTAAAGCTTCACCCAATTGGATATTACTATTCAAAAAAAAGCATAAAATTGTATGGCGTAAAATAACTAAATATGTGACTAAAGTATCTGATGAAAATGAGGCTAGTTTAACGTTAGATTGTCAAAATTGTATCAACCTCATAAAAACAGAATTTTCAACCAAAAGTGCAAGTAACATATATAATTCCGATCAAAGTGGATTCAATTTAGAAATGCATACTGGCACAACATTAAGCGAAAAAGGTAAGAAGACAGTCGAATCAGTAGTATAATCAGTATCATCGACTACGTATAGTTATACGATTCAACCGACAATATCTGCAGAAGGTACAATGCTATCACCCCTTTTTATGGTATTAAAAGAAATAAACGGAGAGTTTGGACCCATTGTTTCAAAAAAACTACTCAATGCACCTAATATGCGAGCAAGTGCATCAGGAAAGCTGTCGAGTGAATTACTTTAAACATGGTTGCAACATGTATTTTTTCCTAACTGTGGAAAAACAGCAGTTTTATT